AGACCGACTAGCGAAACTCCATTCTCCCTCGCCTATGGGGCATAAGCAATTATCCCTCCTCACATCACTGTCCCCTCCATAAGCTTTGAGGTGGGCAGTGTTGATCAGAACTCCGAGCAAATAAGGCTCAACCTTGACTTACTTGAGGGCGAGCACGAGAATACCATTATCCGAGTCGCCTCCTATCAGCAGCAGTTGAAATCCTACTACAACAAAAGAGCTAAGATAAGATAATTTCAACCAAGCGATCTTGTGCTAAGAAAGGCTTTCATCACTGCACCAAGACAAAGGTCAAAAAAGATGAACCATAACTGGGAGGGTCCTTATGTCATCAGCTGGTTTAGGGGCAGAGGAAGCTACACACTCGACACCATCGATGGAAAGGAAATTCCACGACAATGGAATGCTTACCATCTTCGAAGATATTATCTGTGACGCTTCCTCCTATCTGCTCAGTTCCAAGCAGATAGCTGAGCACCGCACATTTCTGGAGAAGAGAAGCAATTGTTGGAAGTTTCATAGTGTCTCAAATGCCCACCAAAAGAAAAGAAGAAAAAAAAAGTTGCCCATAAGGAGCGTCCTAAGAGAGATGCAGGGCGATGACCAGAAGCGTCCTACGGGAAACGCAACCAACAAAGAAGCGTCCTCAGGGAGACGCAGGGTGTGCTAGGAATTTCCTAAGGGAGGTCTCCAAGCTTCCTGATGGAAGTATCCAAGTTCCTATCTGTTTCCTAAGGGGGGCAGGATAGTCATGCAGTTGCCCATAAGCAGTGTCCTTTGGAAAACGCAGTGCGACGACCAAAACATCTTACGGGATATGCAGAACATGCCCGGAGTCCCTCAATGGGGACCTTGGCACTTGTCAATTTCCTAAGTGAAAACATCCTACGGGATATGCAGAACATGCCCAGAGTCCCTCAAAGAGGACCCTAGCACTTGTCAACTTTCTAAGGGAAAATATCATACGAGATATGCAGAACATGCCGAGAGTCCCTCAAGGGGGACCCTAGCACTTGTCAACTTCTTAAATGAGAACATCCTACGAGATATGCAGAACATGTCGGGAGATGGTCAAACAGACCAACCGGCCAAGTTCAACAAAAGAAGATGGTGACCAATTATTTTAAACAAGAAAGTAGACTACAAAAGTTGAAAAGAAATAAAGAATCTTCATCTACTCTAAGGCACCAGCAGGAGACCCCTGATATGCAGCCTCTTCAGCATCCACCTGACCAACCATGCCTTCAGCAGCTCCACCTGCTTGCTCCGTGACATCTGCCACCATCTCATCATCTAAGTCCACCTCTGCTCCATCTTCTTCAGCTACCGCATCTTCTGCCGCCTGCTCTTCAGTTCCTTCCATGTTCACAGCGTTAACCTGCTCACTTTGCACAAGGAACAAGTCAGGGCAAAACACCTCGATGTCTTCATATTCAATTGCATAGAAGGGAGCAGTCCCATTTGTGCAGTACAAGTAGCCCAACTTGTACGCGTCTTTGGTAGCTTCAAACTTGGATTTCTCTATAAACTTGTGGTGGGCGCGAAGTCTGGCCAGAAGCTTGTCGTAGCTGAGGGAGTTATCAGCATTCTTGCGCTCGAGACAGAAGAATGCATCTTTTCGACTACCCAAGTCAGTAGCAAAAGAGCTAAGCTCAGAATCCTTCTCAGCAAGGGAGCTTTTCAGTTCAGATATCATCGCCCTCAAATTAGACGTCTTCTTCTCATAACGGGTCTACTCAGCAAAAAGCTTGCTAGCCAGCATTGTTACCTAAAGCTCAATTAACTGAAAGATAAACACAAAAAGGATTAAAAGCACAAGTTTAACTCAAAAACATAACCAAATCATAAGCTAGAAGGGTAAGAAATAATATACAATTATGAACCGATCACGTATGCATCCCCTGCAGGGCTGGACTTCTCCACCTTGGGATCAGCTGCTAACGTTGCAGAAGAACATTTCGCCCAGGCAGATGACTCAACTCTACGCGTGACTGCTCGTGACTCAACAACTGGATCGTGATGGTTAGGCGAATGAGAAGACCTCCCAGTTCGATCTCCATCCTTTCACTGGTGCAAATGACTCAAACCTTGGAGAGGAATATCAGCATCTCTTTGCCTCTCAGCAGGTGAACTAGTTCGTGAGTGAACCACTTCACGGAGCAGATCACAATCTCCAAGCTTGTATGTAGGAGACTTAAGTAGAACATCCCGAATATTGCGTATATCGCCAATCGTCTTGTTATCTGCACCAACAAGATGTTTAAACCTTGTTGATGACAGGGGAATAGCTCTTTCTTAAGTCTTCTCAGCATAAAGGATCCTTGGCTTCTTCCTCAACAGAGACACATCCTTCGCCCGTGAAGTCGCAGCTTCATTTCTTGAAGACTTGACATCAACCTTCCTTTTTTAGGGGGGGTCTGGCAGAACACTCCTCCTGCCTAGCCAGTAGATCATCGAGTCTGGACCATTCTGCTTCCATCTCTCAATATCCTAGGCAGGGGGCAGACCACCAACTTCCTCCTGATACTCGCTCAGCAGCCACCAGTGGCCACTGCGCTCCTACCGTCT